AGAGAAGTTTTTTGATCAAGCGTTGGGTATTGGTTGAGTTCGTTTTAGAAAATAATAGATCTGTTGGAGTGATTCTTGTTTTACCGTTGAATGTGAAGGTCGAAATGTGAACAGAGCATGAAATCGGAAAATGAGCAAAATATTTCAGATATTGATTCGTATTCGATTTTGATTCTGAAAGATTACTGAAAGGACATTTTCCAAAACTGGTCAGAAGAGACTGATAAGAAAAGAGACGACGATGCTTAGTTGTTCACATTCCCGGAAAAATTCCTCAAAACGGCAAATGGAGTTATTACGAGGCAGGAATGAACGAGGAATGTGTGTTGATCCCTGTTTTAAATTTTCATACGAAAAGAGAATTTAAGAATCTATTTAGTTTCAGAGTAAGTTAAAACCTAAAAATGGTGAGTAATAAAAAAATGTGTTAAAATAGCATTTAACAGAAATAGGTAATTAAGTATATATATTAAATATTTATAAAGCAAATCGTTTAAATACTCTATAGAGCATTATTAAACAATGCGTGATACTTCGGAAATTTCATGGATAGGCTTAGTAGCAAAAAAGCCCCCGGCCCTGGAGAGACGCTCGCGTAAGGCACTGCCGGCCTCAGCGATAAGCGCGCGTTTTCGCTACCCGGCTCGAAGAGGTTAATAACGTGGCAGAACCTACTTGGTCTCTCTAACAAAAGAATATTTTTCAGAAGAATTTTGTGGCGGACTCTGACTACTGGCTACCCTAAGGAAAACATAAAATCTTAAGCAGTTAGCTGACTACTGATTACCTTGGGGAAAATATGGAATCCTTAAGCAGTCAAGTGACTGCTATTTACTTTCGGGAAAATATGGAAACATCAAGCAGGCAACCCGCTCAAACACAAACACTGAAACCAGGGTAAAACATCCTGTCAGTATTTCGTAGCTTTAATCACTTGGCTTCAGATTCTCCAGCTTCGAAGTTAGGTTACTGTTTGCCAAGTATATCTTGGAATCTGCGAATGATAAAACTTCTTCGACACTACAAAATTATACTATACCAGTTTTGCTACAACTAGTCCTCATGAAATGCAGGCAGTTCTTCAGCTAACTTTCAGGGATACTCCATAATTAAACAAAACCGCGATTTCATCAAAAGCATGTTCGGAACGAGTTTTCGAATTATCCGCTTCTTCTGCATAGTTTTAGGCGGAAAAATAGAATTTTGAAACCTCAGAATAGTTTAAAATTTACTTCAGACAGTTTCAGAAAACACAAGTCAGCAAAAATTATTAATATTTGAAAATTGCTTAACTCTTTTTGTAACTGTCCCGCATGCTATTGAAGGAAAGGTCTAACACGAAAGGTCTTAGTGCTGCATGCGTACTCTCAGATGGATTGTTTCGAATGGAAGTTGTTCGGCTGTTCTGAAATAATTTATTGGAAATCTATTGTATCTAGACATGTGTAAATTTCTATCTAGACATGTGTCTAGTGTGATTAATTTTACGCGGAGAAAATCTCAGGAAATCAGGAAAAGTCTGTTCTACAGAATAAATCTTTGCCCTTGTAATATCGTGTGGCCCCCAACTTGTCAGCAACTGTGTTAGTGACGGTTACAGCCGGAAACATCGCGGCAAAAACATCGCGGGCGAAAACGTCGCGGAGAAAACAACGCAAGGCGAAAACGTCGTGATACAAAACATCGTGGGAGAAAACATCGCAAAGAGAAAACATCGCAGTTCTAATACATCGTGATACAAAATATCGTCGTCCAAAATAAAGCGGTTCAAAAATTTCGCAGTTTAAAAACATCGTCGTCGAAAATATCTTGGTAAAAAATAAAGTATCTACAAATCATCGTGTGACGATAACATCGCAGACATGCTTTTTTCAGGCTTTAATAATTATAAGGGTTATTTCCATAATGATTTGAGCGAAGATGGGAAAAGGAAATTTTTACTTTCATATTTTTTTTAACAAATAATTTTTGCTGAAAAAGTAAGAAGGAAATTAAGCATAGGAATTAAGGCAATTATAGCATTTAATGGAATTTAACTGACATAGTTAACTAACAAGGTCATTAATAAATCATTTTTATAAAAGTTTTTACTGGTTAAGTTTTCTTAAAAGTATAATCTAAAAATGTTTAGAAAAAAAATACGTAACTGCAGACTTATCTATAAAAAAATTGCTAATATGAGATTTTTCTTCACTTTGTCAATCTAATATCTTATAATGAAAAATATTTTGTTCCTTAAGAATGTTAACTTAAGAATAAACTTGTTAACTTAATAAAACTGAAGTTCCTTCTAACGTTTTCAGCAAAATTGATTAGTTAATAAAAAATATGAAAGTAAAAATTATCTTTCTTTCCATCTCGCTCTTACAAATCATTATGGATTATCCATTTAAATTATTAAGCCTGAAAATAGCAGGTCTGCGACGTTATCTTCCTGCAATGATTTGCGATATTTTTTTACCGCGATATTTTCGACGACGATAGTTTTAAACTGCGAAGTTTTTGAACGCTTTATTTCGACGACGATATTTTGTACTACGATGTTTTAGAACTGCGATGTTTCCTCTTTGCGATGTTTTCTCTCACGATGTTTTGTAGCACGACGTTTTCGCCTTGCGTTGGTTTCTCCGCGACGTTTTCGCCCGCGATGATTTTCCCGCGATGTTATCGGCGGACACCGTTGTGACTGCTACTAAGTGCGAAGTTACAGAGACACGTAAGAAGGGTTTAAAGCCTTTTTTATTCAACTTTTAACAATAACAGCTGCCTCCACTTGACGCTCACAAACTACGCCGACCCGGCGGTCTAACGAACAGAATGTAAAACTGAATAAAAATAATGACTAGTGAAAAATAACGAGATCCACTATCGAGGCTCTGAGACCTTGAACTAACCTAACCGCGTTCTAAAATACCACCGAGATTCAGCGAGCTTACTATTAAGCAGTTGAGAGATCCAGCAAAATCGCCGAGATAGGCACAGGCCGACACGCGGTTCTAAAATTCTACCTAGCAACCTTCACGTTCGCGATTCAAGAGCACACTACACTCGTTTCCTTCTATATACTCAACTTAAATTCTGCAAATTGAATATACTGCGCGCTCTACTACAATTTACATACTCAGCATTGGCAGTTGGGCCCACCAGCAGCCGAGCGGTAAGGTCGCTGAACACTGGTAGTTCGGTCTGAGGTTCGAATCCCGCGGACGGGTTGGCTGCATTGGTGTTTTCGTGGTTTTCCCCATGTGTAACGTGTATACGAGCCAGTTTCCCTTAGAAAGTCCTCCACGAAGGCATCTCTCACCTTAGGCAGATAGCCCTAGTGTGCTTTGCCATAATTAAATACACCACCACACCACCATCACCTAGCTGGCAATTCTTAGGGGAAAGTAAAGGCTTGACAGGAAAGATAACTTAAAATAAATATAAACCCTACACTCTTTAAATAGCTTTACTTTAATATCTGTTAAATTTGAAAATAATTAATGAAGGAATGTTTATGGGCAGAATTTATAGAAATGAAATTTAAAAAAACCTATTTTGATTACAAAACTTACATTTCTATCCTAGAATATTTGTTATTAAAATTTACATTGATTTAACAATTCCAGACCTTTAATATTAAAATAGTACCTCCTCTGTAAGGAACAACTCTATTTACAATTCTGTTGCTGAGAATTGTAAATTCTGTAAATAATTCTGTTCCTGAAACAATTCTGTTGCTGCCGGTTCCTTTGAAAAGGGACCTTAATATATCCATCTCTTATTAAGAGATACTCTATTTAAAGAACACCGAAAACAGGTTTCAAATATACGATGGAGGTACAGAAATAAAAATCTGTTGTGTACCCCACATGACTTCCTTGTACGGAATATTAAATTACACGCATTTTTTCTTGCATTTTATTAAAAACATTAAATTACATTAAATACAAAAATAAAATTACATTAAATACAAAAAATGTGTATAATTTGATAGGTCCCTACAAAGAAGTCATGTGGTGTCCGCGTCAGATATTTTTTAGTTACGGAAACAAGCGAAATATCTGTACGATTTCTCATATGTATTAAATTTTACTGTTAATCGCTTCAAATGTTCTTGAAAGTATTGTATGTGGACATTCGCTCCTACAACTCAACCGCCTCTTCCTAAATCTGGCAACAGCTACAGCAGCAAGATACTTCTTCAAGCTGCGTGAGGAAATAAAAAAGAGAATTCCATCCCGATGACGTGCGTTGGATGTAACTGAACTATGCTATTCGACGATGTTGCTTGATGATGTAATTCCTTTTCATGATGAATACAACTTTTTATCTTACTTCCTTTCACTCTGTATACCATAATCATGTTTATTCTTTCATTATTAAATACCTTTAAAATGCCACTGCCTTCTTCTATTTTAATCCTAACCTCATCCCACATATATTTTAACCTAAAATTTTCAGACTGCAAGATTCGTTCTGGGAGTAGGGGTTACTTAAGTTCTGGCCGCTAAAAAACACACCTTTTGAAAATAAGACCAAGATGAATAAAAACAGGTTAGAAAAGGAATGCCAGACAAAACTCCTGACTAATGGTTGCTTGCTTTGTGCACTTAAATAATTAAAAATACACGCATAAATACGCAAAAAGCCCTTTTCCAGGTGAAATAACAGAGGTTTGATGACGCGCCATTTCATATTCTGGATCATATTTGCAACTTCGCCCAAATCAGCTGTTTCGTCCCCAGTTATCTCTTTCCTATGCATCCAACTTTTGCATTTGTGATGTAATGACCTAAGTGAATTGCACGGTTGTTGACAGCATCAGTGTATACAGATAGATTTTTTTTAAGAATAACTTCAAACGAATCGCTCATCTCTCAATCTTTATATCAGACAGATATTTCTTACGCAAGAGTAGTACAGCGTCCAGAAAAGAGAAGCAAAAAAAAAAAAAAAATAAAAAAAGAACGTTCTGGATACTAACCCAGTGGATTGATTTGATTTGCGAAGTTTCACCGTCGTTGAGTGTGTTAAGGATCTTCGCACCACTTTTGACTCATTTAGCGCTACGAAAGGCAATTGAGGAAACCTCTGCGAGAGTTAACACTAAGCAAGACTTGTTTTTTAGTGCTTTGACATGCCAAATATCTGTCGTCGTATTTTACGTTCCATTAATAGAAAGCTATGCATCTATGTCATAAGTGTCCTTTTGCCCCTCATCTTAGCTCCTCTGGCGGTTTCCCCTTACAAGGCAAGTAAGTTAGATCTTTTTTGCCCGTTTTCTTAACGTTTCTTGCCATTTATAATGCGAAAAACAAATTTGTGTATGAACAATATATTTTAACGTATTTTTAACACCAAAAATGTGTACCGTTACTTGATCATTAAACAAAGTGGATGGTTAGAGTGGCGAATATAGCATGATAGAGTAATCTTGCATAGTTAACTCTGAATAAAATAATAAGTTATAACCAACGGAAAATGTTCTCATTCTACATCACATGGTTCAAAAAGAAATTTGGTGCTACTTTGGTAGTCAGCTGCGCGAATTTTCGGCGGTTTACATTGGCGCAGTTTTTACAATCGTCAGCCATCTTGAAAAACGCTGTTTTTACGTATTTTACGCATAGTAAAGTATTCGAAACTTTAAAAAAATTATATCGTTAAAAATAATGGATAATTTTTTTGAAATTCGCTTTTAAGAGGCAGCAATGTAAATAATACATTTATTCTGAGTATAAACACTAAAGAAAGGTTAAATTATTACTTCATATCAAGTAAAGAGATAAAAAACAATGCGGCAACTTTTAATTGGATTAAAATAACTTAAATTGAATATCGAATTAAAGATCATACCAAGTTAAAAGAATTAAAATATTACTTAAATTTAAATCCTTTAAATAATTTATAGGATAATTAGTTACATTAAAGCATGTGGCATAAAATCTCGGCAATTTTGAAAAACAGTGTATTACTTTTTTAAATAAAAATTGAGGTCTACGTTTATAAAGAAAAATATGTACTTACATTTTTGAGTGTTTAACCTGTCGTAATGAAAGTACCACAAAAAAAATCGGAATCATAAGGTAGATATCAATGAAAAAATTGAAAAATTTAATCTAAGGAATGCGAAGAGGAACAGTAGACAGTTAGACAAACAAAAACGGAATTCAGTATGCAATTATACACAGAATGAAGAGTTCATAACATCATCAAGTGCCTATCGACATGGAGAAAAACGTGTTATAACGATACAAAATACATTCAAAGGAAAGAGAATTCCAGTTCGCGCTATTTTGTAACAGCAGCATATCGTGGATGCCAACTCTACTTTCAATGTGCTAGATACACCTGCAAAAGTAGCTAAAACGTCGCTAAATTCAGAAGGAATTTCGCTAAAAGTAGTAGCTAAAATTTAATAAAAAAAGTATAGTCCATATTCCATAATAGGTTTTAATACTCGTCATTTTTTAAACTGAATCTTCATAAAAATATAAATAATGTCCGGATTTTCTGCGGACCATCTAAGAGTTTTCAAGGACCGCCGATTGACGACCGCTGCTTTAGAACCATTACAATTTTCTTATCAGGAACTCTTGAAAATTCCTCCGTATCCTATTCGAAAGTGGAGGTTTCTAACTACCACCTAGATATGCTGATCATTGCGCAAGAAGAATTCAGAAGGGAACATTTGTAATTCTTTGGAATATTATTAACTTTAGATATGAAGCATGAAAGGCTTTTGCAAAATGTATTTAACTTCACTACAGTACTTTTAGTGCGAGTTGTAATCACCTTTCAATCTATGATTTAGAAGGCTTCGTCCCAGAAACTTGGTGGCCGTGAGTCCAATCGCAGATCAATCTCATTTCGGACTTCCTGTGCAGAATAAAATGTACAAGATGTAACTGCAGATGTAACTGTGTGAAAAAATGTAGAAGTTCAAAGGACCGATATCGGGGTTATATGGTCGGTGTCACAGAAGATGACAGGTGAGGAAGGATTGGGACGCCTGGCGTTTAACGGAGGTAAACAGGCATATGTCCCATGCCCTCCCCTATCCAGACGCAGCAACTCCCTGGGGCTCCATAAGGGCGCACCGGCAGTTTATTACCGGTATTATCAGTTTATACTAGAATTCGCCTTGGTTTGCTACATTGTTTGTAGCTTACTGCCCTGTTCTTAGTTAGTTTCATTATGGGGGTTGTGACAGAAGGCAATTCGAGTAAGTACAGAAACCAGCCGCTGAATGCAGACACACGTGGTCTTGCATTATGTTGATGGAACATTACCTTTTTGCGCCGGAACCCACTTCTATGTTTTTCCTTGATAGCAGCGCCAGGACGAACTAGCATCTCTCTGTACACCTTACTGTCGAGGGTTTTACCTTTTTTTCAGATACTCTTTGTGGATAATACCACGCCAATCCCACCAGATACAAAGCATAATCATTTTGCTAGACAAATTGAGCTTTGCGACGCTGCCGGCGCGGTCACCAACCCTTTCTTCGGCCTGTGTAGTTGAATTAAATCCACTTTCCATCAAAAATGACGATACGGTCCATAATTTTGTCTTTGCGTTGATACTCGAGCAAATTAGTCCAGGTCGGAACAGGTCTTCTTTATCTGCTTGAGTCAGCTCATGCGGCACCCAGCGATTGAACTTACAGATCAAGTTTATGGGATGCATACAGCGACTAATGGGCATGGCACTAATGCCTAATTCCTTAGCAAGGCTCTCGAATGGTTGCATACTGATCTTCTTCCACAAGTTCTCACACGCGGTCATTATCAACACCAGTAGGCCCTCTAGAGCGAGCTACTTCTTGAATGGCATCGCTCTTGTTTTTGAAGTTTCGGAACCAAATCTTCACAGTGTCATATGATACAACCTAAAGCTATACACATGATTTGGTGACATTATATACGTAGCTGGCGTTTTACAACAGAAATGGAAGTAAATGATGGTTCTAATCCGGTAGCGTCTCATAGTTCCATTTCAGGCACCTCCTACTTAATGATAACGCTATTTTTTTACAAATTTCACAATACAGTGTTCTAAAGCAAGTCTCTTCCTTTTAAATGCCAAAACTCCTTTGACGAAATATGATTAAACACGCCAACGGGAACTGTTTGCGTAGCGATATTTACGGCTGCGGGAAAATTTCATTAAAACGCGATAATTTGCGTTTTCATTCCAATCTTTCTTTAATTGTTTGCATATTTTCAAACCATAATATATCTTAAATTAGAAGCCAAACAACAAAAAATCACCGTTATAATTCCAAATTTTTCACAGGACTAGTTTCGATGGTTTTACCGAGCCATCATCCTCACTGCAAAAGCGTCAATGAACGAGGTAAGATATAATGATTAGATAATATAAGAAAGCCTGGACAGAAGATAAGCTACTGGTGCCATCTGTTGATGAAACACCATCCACCTTTCTGTTGTCCAACATTGTTGGCCCGAGAATCACACTTTAAATTTTTCTGCTGACAAAATTATTCAAAAAACATCTTCCATTGGTGAACTGAATTTTCTAGAGGCATTTGACACTAAAAAAATCTTTCTGTTCTAGATAACGATCCTAATTCCAATCCATCTTTGCCTTCAGCGTTTAAAGAAATTACGTTTTAGTTCTGGTTTCTTCAACAGATGGCGCCAGTAGCTTAGCTCCTGTCCAGGCTTTCTTATCTTATCTTATCTAATCATTATATCTTACCTCGTTCATTCACGCTTTTGCAGCTGAGGCTGATGGTTCGGTGAAACCATCGAAACTAGTCCTGTGAAAAATCTGAAAATATAATGCTGATTTTTTGTTGTTTGGCTTCTAAGTTAATATTTGTTCGGCGTGTTCTTGTATCTTCATAATATATCTTATTTTCACAATTCTCCATGGAAAAAATCCGTTTATGAAAGAAGACTTGCAATTCAATGCCGTTCTGTCCAAGAACAAACTGCAATATTTTATACTCAATTTGAAAATCGCGATATATAATTGGCAATAGATAGAGATTATCGGGGATAAGTGAAGCATATAAATATATAATATTTGGAATATCAATTCCTACTTATTGATTCCTGTTTATTGGAACTAAAGATAGGCTGTTTTTATTAAGTATATTATAAGACTTACAAATAATGACCGTTTATTAGAAATTCTCACGTGCTGTAAGTACATGACTGTGATGAATGGGATTGCAATATTTAACAAAAAGTAAGTGGCAACAGTAAGACAGATTTCTAAAGATTTTTAAAGTGTATGGACTTAAAGAATATGGAGTTGGATGAAGCGAATGTAATGTTCCGTTTAATGCAGAGAAAATTCTCTCCATATTTTTATGTTAGCGGAATAATAATACATATATTTAAAATATAACCCTTGCTTTACAAACGGAGAAAGCGAAAAGAAACTACAAAGCAATGCAAGCGACGATTAGGAGAAGCACTGTAGATTATGCAGTAATATATCTAGGACCAAAAACTCTTAGCAGCAGGTCAATCATATGTCGCCTTAAGTCGTGTGAAATCATTAGATGGAATATTAATTGAAGAACTGGACTGCTCGAAACTCACTGTAAAGGTTCCTTGCAATAATGAAGTATTATAAGAGATAGATGGTTAACGTGTATACGGGCCAGTTTCCCTTAAAAAGTCCTCCACGAAGGCATCCCTCCCTTAAGGCAGCTAGCCCTCGAGTGATATGCTGTAACCTAATAAACCAAAATAAGAGATAGATAGAATGAGAAATTATAGAATGATAGATATAATGAGAAATTATAGAATTCATAAATTAGAAACGAAAAAATGTTAATGAAAAGTAACTTAAATAAAATTTTCTTCGTTGACTTGAGTAAGAATTGACTTTAAAAACATATTTTTTATATTACTTGTTTTTAAATTAACATTATAAAAACCTAAACAAACAGTCATCCAATTATCGTATTCTAAAATTCAGTAGCTCGTTGGACTCCTTAATGGTTTTCACTCCCGAAAGCATAATTATATTCTAATAATTAACACAAAGCATCCGAGTTTCTGTTTCTCGTTCTTACATCTAATTAATTTATTTGTAACTTAACAATACTGTGATAAATGTTTAAAAAATTTATTATATTGTCATTTTATAGAACCAAGTGTCTTCTGTCAGCGTTATTTATTTTAGTTAGGCGACTTCCAAATAAAAATTACAAGTACCACCGTAATAAACTGGAAAATACGAGATACGTACATTGATGAGTTGTATTCCAGTAATATCTTCTAGCCGGATATAAATATTTTGCTACAAAAATACTTTTGCGGGTTCGTAACAGATTGAATGCACAAGTGCGATAATAGGTTAATAAAAATTTATTTTTATTAAAAGAAATATTTATTTTTATTAAAGAAATATATCCGAACGCTTGAGTTTTCCTCAGAGATATTCGTACAAGTGTTTACAATATCCCGCAGTATAATCAGTAGTTATACTTCAAACTACTGAAAACGTTAAAACGCAAAGCGTTATCTGAAGAGAAAGCTAATTCATATATCTCAATTTAAGGGGACTCATACACCTTAAACCCCTTATGATCTTCGAATATGTGACTGTTGCAAGAATTGGGATATTTTACTTATTTTAAAAAGCTATTATTCCAACATTTTACAGCTGACTACTAATATAGCTGCTTGGGAACTAGTAACCAGGAAGTTTGTGTGCCCAAATATTTTCGTATTTCGTCCGCTTGTGACAAAATGTTTCGTCATGTTTCCACCTTGCGCGCATGATATTTTAAAAATGGCTAATGGTACATACTTGAAATTGGATGGAATTCTTTATATGGGTTCTATTTTCTAACGAAACCCAAAATCTGATGAATAGTTTACTATTAAAAAATTTTATGCACGAAAACATTACATATTTTTTTAATAAAATACATTTTATAAACTCAACTCCAAATGAAACAAAAACTTAACACGAAATTTTTTAAATTTTAGATTCACAGTAGTTTCCAAATGTTATAAAAGCTATATACTAAATAAGGAATTAAATTATGCAACAGAATATTTTAAACTCTGCGCGCAAGGTGGAAACATGCCGAAAATTTTTGTCACAAAGCGGATTAAATTATAAAAATATTTGTGGCAACACAAACTGTCTGATTACAATTTCCGAAAGCAGCTATATTATGTTGTCAACTGTAAAAAGATGGAAGTAACTGCTTTTGAATAAATAAGTTATCCCAACTCTTGCAACAGTCACATATTCGAAGACCTTATGGGTTTTAAGATGTACGAGTCCCCTTAAACAAATCGCAATAACAGTAACTAAGCAACTAAGCAACTCTTCGGCTTTAAATATTTTCCAATCAGCCGCGCTAGATAGTTCTAGCATTTTCTTCTTTTCGCGATCTCTGAAAACCAGTAAGAGGATGGAATTATGGTTACAACTAACATAGTGGTCAATCACATTTATTCAGTTTCAAAACAAATTATCGAGATATCCATTTATTTAATGTTAAATGAACGACCTCCTGTAATTTTACTTTTTCGGCATAGCTTTCTTATAAAATTTATCTCGCGCTGCATAGCACGGGGAAATAAAACAACATTAATTATAATTCTAGTAAAATTTACTATCTAAATACAAAATTCGTAACAGTACTTATGATGCATTTAAAATAGTTTATTTTATTACATTACAGAAATAATTTATAATGAGAATTAAAAAAAATTTCTAATTTCATTTTATGCCCACTACATTTGTTTTTCAAAATTTTCTATTTAAAAAAGGGGGAAAACCCTACTATTTTCCCATTCCCCTATTTGATATGATCAATGTTAACTTTTCACCATATCTTGATCGCTTATAAATTTGCAGTGCTGTTTTTACGAGTTATTAAGTTTACAATTATCGTCTTGATTAAAACATTTATGATTTTTAGTTCTGATGTTATACTTTATGATGAACTAGCTTTACCAACAAACTTGAAAACAAAAGTACGCAGTTATCCAATATGGCAGCCTATTAAGAGAAAGTTTTGGTTTAAGTTCCGAAATTACGATGCCATCAAGTAATGCAAGTTATGAGTTATGCAAGTCATATTGTAGAGTCATTAGGTTAAATGGAAGCAGAAAAGATGAAAAATATGCAACCGTCTTCGCCGGGAATCGAACCACGGACCTCTGGAATACCGGCCCAGCGTGCACCACGAAGGCACGCTAGAAAAGTGGGCGAAATACCTTATAATATGATATGGACTGATTTGGAAACTACGCAGGGCAGAGAAAGCTATTACTATTTTTAGATTAGAGAGGGGAAATTAAGGGGTCATTGCTTTGATTTATATACCTTTTTACCTTACAGGGTTTCTCAAAAGATCGTTGCCAAACTTAGTCTGTCATACCATCACAAACAAAAATTTCATAGGAACTTGTGTCCGAAAATGCGAATGGCCACCGCTAGAGGGCAATGCTCGCAAGGCTAGAAATTAACAAAGAGTGTCGAAAGAGGTCTTATAATATGACTTTCATGACATGGTTAAATCTATTCAAAATTCCTTCCATCCGCCACAATGCATGCTTCACAACGTCGACGCATGGATTCACGGACCCGTTCAAAATAAGCAGGGGTGTGCCATTTGGCACGTGCCGCCATTTCCACGATCCTGGCGACAAGATCTATGTCCGTTGTTACGATCATCTCGTACACCAAAGAATTCATGTACCCCACAGGTAGAAGAAATACAGAAGTTAGGTCGGAGGACCGCGGTGGCCATGCAACTGGTCCGCCTCTGCCAGTCCAGCGATTAAGATACTGTCCTATCGAAGCTGAAACGTCAACCATCAGATCCGGGAACACTCTTTCCACAAAATATCCATAAAGATCTTAGTAAACCGATTCATCCTTCTGCTGCTACGACCGCGCTTGAAATGATCACACTTCCAAGTCTTCCATCAGCTTGCGAACATTGCTTTCTAGAGTTCGCAGTTCGCATTTTAGAGCACAAGCTTCCATGTAAATTTTGCTGGTTATGGTATGACAGACCAGCATGTTAAGTTTGCCAACGACATTCTGAGACACTCTGTATATATATATATGTGTGTGTTGATATTCCTAGTGTATTTCTAGCGTATTGAGGAGAATTTCTGCTTATATGTGCCTTATTTAGGGGATATTTATATTCTTTTATTTTATTTGTAAAACATATTATTCATGTCAACATAATTTCGAATTTTCTTTTTATCTTAATTTTTCATTTGGATCTCTATGTTTTTAACAGGATTATCCATACTATATAAGTTTTATATTTGAGAAACAAGTCATGTGAAATTTCACTTTTTTACTTGACTAAAAACAGTTAATTGAAGTTAATATTTGTATTCCATTTCGAAGGAAAATTTTTTAACAGAGCATATTAACTTTTAATTTCAGTATAATCCATAATGTCCCTTTTCTCTGGTGAATAATTTTCAGATATACACTCATGTCCATAAATTAAGGATAATTCGGAGTCACGCGGAAATCGAACTCTAAAATAAATATATCACCTGTAAAATCACTACACATTCTATGCAAATTTCAGGAAGTACCAGATGACACCGATGGTACGTCACAATGAGAGAGTGTAAGAGAGTGATATATAAGGAATACAGGCAAAGAAGTAAAATTGTTCGCAGGCGCTTTATAAGCATTTCAGTGCAATAACCGAATAGTTTGACACAAAGGACGCATTTGGATGATTTTTTACGTGGTAGAATTATCGCCGTCTGGAATGTGGGCGTACCCAACTGGAAGTGTCAGACGAACTTGGAATTGCCCTGAGTGTCATCTCCAGGCTTTGGCAACCATTCCAAGATGATGGTAATGTGAGTAGACGTTACAGCACAGTTCGCCCCAGAGTTACAACGCCGTATGAGGACCGCTATTTGGCAGTTTGCCAAAAGAAACAGGCGGAGCACAGCCTCAGACCTATCTCGTCAGCTCTGTTCAGCCACTGGTACGACAATTTCAAGGCAGACCGTGTACAGACGCTTAGGGCAGATTGGTCTATATGCTCGTAGACCTGTCAGATGCGTTCCACTTACTGCAACTCATTGTCGCCTGCGGTTAGCCTGGAGTAGAGAGCATGCATTGCGGACACCGCAACAGTGGGCTTGTGTGATGTTTTCCGACGAGTCCAGGTTTAGCTTGCAGTCTGATTCTCGCCGGAGTTTCATATGAAGAGCTCCAGGTACCCGTTACCACCACGAAAACATCATTGAACGACACCGTTACGGTGGTGCAGGAGTGCTCGTTTGGGGTGGAATTATTCTGGGTTCCAGAACTGACCTGCATGTTCAAATTGTAACCATGACAAGCCAAATCTATCGGGACGTCATTCTGGAACAACATGTACGTTTTTTTCGGGGCGCACAATTTGTGTTTATGGATGATAACGCCCGTCCTCAACGCGCAAACATCGTAAGCGAATGCGTTAGGAGGATATCACCCGTATGGACTGGCAGCATTCTCAGCGAACTTGAATCCAGTAGAGCACGTGTGGGACATGCTTGGCCGACGAGTTGCAGCCGTCAACCTCCTCCTACATGTCTACCGGAACTTCGGAGAGCATGCTTTTGAGTGGTGAAGATCCCCAAGATCAGATCGATAATTGATAATCAGCATGCTAGGCGTTGTACGGACTGTATTGCATCGTCTGGAGACATACAATGTTTAACAATCATACCAACCAGTAATATTGGTTTTTTGTAAACAGGTTTTTTTTTATTTTTTTTTTATTATTTTTTTTTTATTGTAATTTGCTCGAGAAAAAATCGCTATTTTTTTAGTAATATCAAACATATAGCATCTTTTTTTTTTGTCCTTTACCTTGTGTTTAATAAATAAGCTTTACAAATAAGAGAAATTTGTTTTGCTTCTAACTTTTCCTTTGCCTGATTTTACACTATCCTTAATTTATGGACATGAGTGTAAATTATGCATTAAAACAAGAGCACTATTTCAGAAAAATTAACTACTCTGGAATAATCCGTTGTCTATTTCAGGAATCGAAATGTGCTTATGTGTTACTCCTAGTTGCTTCCTACTGGTTATTGGAGCCTGTTCCTATAGCTGCAACAGCCTTACTGCCTGTCGTCCTCTTTCCACTCTTAGGCGTTGTCAGTTCAGCCGAAATATGTTCAAACTACATGAAGGTAAGATTGAGAAGGAATACATACTTTATTATCCTAAGTTTATAAGAGTTATTTAAGCTCCTTTCCTATCTCTTCTAGCTTCAGCTTACAGTCCTTTACCAGAGTGAGTTTTTAGAATCGCGTTAATTGCAAATGAGTAGTAGAGAGTACAGTCAAAAGTCGTTAATCCGGACTCGTCGGGACTTCGGCGATTCCGGATTATCGATTTTTAAGGATTATAGATCATCAGTTTAGATCTGGTAAGATGGCATGCAGAAATTACAAAATCATAAATATGAAACCGTAATTTATGAAATAAAGAACAATTATGATCTAAAGGGTATCCAAATTTACAAAAAGAAAAAGCTTAATATTTATTTGTTTTACTTTATTAAACATTTCTTTCAATGTAAGTTGTTTAAGTTGCTTCGATTCATGTGATAATATTTTCTCTTTAATTCTATTAAACAGACATAATTTCTTGTTTAGTTACAAAGTTCCGCTGTTCAAGTCTTATAATTGCTGTGTCGAGAATACCGACTAATTTGTCAATCGAAATTTTTTCGTTTTCAATAACCTCTGTCACTTTCTTCACTATCGGTAGCGAATTATAATGACGAGGAACTTGTATCAAATCATATCAAAGACGGAGTACATCAAGATGAAATACTACATTTAGTAAGGAATTATAAGCCAAATAAAATAAAAACATCTGCCTTGAAGATAAGGATAGTGCTGACAGATCAACTTCCAATTCATTGCGCGGCACGGCGTTCCCCCCGCCGAGCAGCGTGAAATGATAAACAGATTTCGGATTTCGAAAACGTACTTTCGCTTTAGATCCTTTACATATTAGCAAAGAATATCGGAAATTCTATTTGATATATCGAAAGTTCAAGCTTACTTTTATAAAATTGCTCTAACAGACTGCAAAAAATAATAAGCCGGATACAATTCGAAGATTAAGGAACAACGCAATCTGCAACATTAACTGAATTAGATAATTTTAGCTTAGCTTATACTGTCTGTTATACATTAAACGCGCATGCGTAAACGTTTTATGCGCACACGCATATTCGCAGCCGTAAGGTAAGGTCTTACGCGCACACGTAAACGCCTATGACGCATGCGCAGAAAGTTTGTAGCTTTAGGTCCGGATTATGGGTGTCCGAATTAACGACTTTTGACTGTATTTTAGTTCCACTGACTTCGACAGAGAGAATTCAATTTCCTGAATAGCATGCGTTTGCGTTTTGGCTACGTTTCTCTAAGCTGGTACTATACGCTTGGCTGTATTACGTGCCCTTGATAGCTTCGCTAGCTAATTTAACACGTTGGCGCCGGCCTGACCCACCGGTGGGTCATACTTGTCTGTTCCGTGGGGGGGGCATGACCCACTGGTGGGTCATGCTTGATTGTTCCACTGGCCCGCATGACTCACCTATGGGTCACGCTTGTATATCAAAAAATAGAATTATTATATTTTATTATAAAATATATAATTTCATAATATAATATAACAATTTAATTTTATAATTTTAATTTATATTTTTATAATTTTAATTTTAAGATTTTTTATTTTTTAATTTTAAAATTTTTATTTTATAATTTGACGCTGCGCCGTCCTACGAAACGGACCGCAAATTCAAGCGCCGCCGCACGAAAAGAACGATGAATATCCGCGCCGCCGTCAACGTGTTAATATTACGGGCCAACTGGTTTAGAAATTGTGTTAGCTTCGGCTAAATCGCTTTAGTTAAGTTCTTATTTCTTTAGCGCATAAGATTATGAAGATTATTAACAACAATAAAGAAGCCATTGGCATTGTGTGATTCGTGTATTTGTATAGTTGTGTGGTGATTTTTGTACTGGTGTAGCCCGTATAAAGTCATGGGGCAAACTTTGTTTTGCAAGGTGGACCGGGCTGCGCCCTAACAAAACAAAAAACATCTTGAGTTCAAGCCCAAGTAGAGGCTTTGTTGTACGTCCTGAGATAGGAGCCATCTGTGAAACTTTATTTTGAGCAATAAAGGGTAATTAACTCTTCTTAAGTTTACCGTTTTTGTTCCTGAACTTAAGCGATTATCCGCTCAGTTGTGCACTGGGTTCGTCAACAGTTAATAGATAAAAAGTGAGGATCCCTACAATTAAACTAAGTTCCATTTTCCCTCTAAAAACTAAAGTATGCACATTGTAAATATTTAAATAACTGTCGTCCAAGTGTTCATTCAAACACGATATCATTTTTAATATCAAATTATTAATATAATTTAATAATTATATTTCAAGGAGTGTTTAGTTTAGTTTAGTTTAGTTTACGAGTATGCTGCAACCCTCCTGGCCGACAATAATCGGCCTCATGGTTAACGCAGCACACCCGACGCAGACAAAAACAGCAACAAAATAATAATAATAATTATGAAATAAATAAAAAATTAAAATATTTAAAGTCCTATTTTAATGATAGTCTTGTTTTCATTCACAATCCTCATAATTTCTGTTGCATAGCTATTCAAGAATTTTCTTTTTTCAATTACATTTTGTTCATTTATTTTTCCAAATCTCGTCCTCACACTCTCGGTCAGTTTACATTCTTCCATGAAATGAGCTGCATTTCCGCACTTCCCACAAGCCAAGCATTGATCATTGCCCTGGAGATTAAAACGTTTTAAATAGGCCGGGAATCTACCATTTCAAGGAGTGTATCTGATGACCTGAGTTTATGCGCGTTTATAGAGTAATTTAAAAATATCTGGTAGAAATGCAATGAACACGAAGACGGAGTTCTCCGATGCGTTTTTATCTATGGGGATTGAGCTTAAAATAGAACAGCTATTCAAAAGTGATTGTAGGTATAGGTTGAAGCTAGGCCGTGCACTCGTGCATTCACGAGTACTACCGGTCTAGGTACCACCGGTCATAATGCAGGGAAGACCCAATCCTCCTAGTCCCACTGGACCATATGATTATAAAGGGTCGACCCCCTCAAGACCACAAAAGGAAAGAAGAGAGAAAAAAAAGCTAATTAACTAAAAATAATTGGAGGTTAATTAACGAACTAAAAATAAGGAAGAGAAATACAAACAGCGAAGCACAACACCAAACATTCAAAATCCAAAAACATTAAAAATATACCACCGGTATTAGGTACCACCGGTCCTTGCTAACTGTCCTTGTAGGACCTCATACCTACCGGTCTAATACCTAATACCTACCGGAGGTACCTAATACCGCACCGGTCCGGTAATAATTGCTGGTACGGTATTAGGGACCACCGGTCCTTGCTAACTGTCCTTGTAGGACCTCATACCTACCGGTCTAATACCTAATACCTACCGGAGGTACCTAATACCGCACCGGTCCGGTAATAATTGCTGGTACGGTATTAGGGACCACCGGTCCTTGCTAACTGTGCAGCCCCACTCCAATTTTGATGAAGAACACCCTGGGGTCTTCTAAGAGTCTCCAGTCAGTCTTTCCCCATCACCAACCACTAAAGAGGATTTTCGTCTCGCTGTCTTGTTTTGAGCGTTTCCTTGCGGCATAGACAGGCATTATACACACACAAACGTCTCTGGGATTCGAACTCGGGCCCATCGGTATAGGAGCCGATCGGTAAGTCACTAATGACTGCACCGTCTGGGTGGCTAAAGGAGGTACATAGACACATTCCAGAATACCTCATTTGAGCAGCTGCTCTGATTTCGTCTGCATTCGTCTGCAGAGATGCATTTTACCTACTGCTCCACGGTGTCCTCCATCACCTCAGTGTGACATTTCTGCACACAGATTTCTTTACAAAAGCTGTGTATTTTGGTCCCTTTTACCTGTCTTTATATTTGTAAAGTATGGCATTCATTCATAGGATAAATTAAGTCCAAACTCCGTGTAGACATGGAGCGAGTTATCGGTATCACAAAAAATAATTGTACAATCTCAAGAAGGTTTAATAAGCCTTTGTATTAAATCAGAACTGGAACAAAAATGTACGTCTCGTGCATGACAATAATTAGGCCACCACTTGTCGCGAAGCAACAGTCAGTTTTGAAATTTAAACTAAATCTGGTAGCTAAAAATAAATTTACGTAAGTAGCTCAAAAAAAAAAAAAAAAAAAAAATCTGATGTGTACACCACATGACTTCCTTGTACGTAATATTAAATTATACGCAATTTTTCTTGCATTTTATTTAAACTTATTAGATTGAATTAAACCTACTTCGCCGACAGCGCATAAACCACAATAGAATAAATGCATTCTTTAAAATTCACTTCGTTTACCATAGCGACACTCTGACGCTAGGTTTACTTAACATTATTCATATCATAACTCAGAATGCACAAAATATATATCATTTAAAGGATTATCTAATCGTTGCCACATGTTCTATTCAAATACTATAATAAAGCTAGAACGTTGTATAAAAGAAATTAAGCAAACAAAACAAAGAAGAACAGCTTTTCACAGACGATTGACTATTTCTCATTCAATTAATACAGTTTTCCCTTCACGACAAGGCAAAACTACATAAAAACTCAAAATATCTGTATTAAAAATTACGAAGTAAATCTTAAACGCTTATTTCCTCGAAAAAATTCCAGAAAGTATTAAGCACGATTTAAATAATAAATGAAGGCGTTATCTTTGTTGTTGCGAAGCTAAGTTTCTCTAGATTGGCAACAAATCCGCTACTCAACTGTTTCAAATGTAAACAAGAGCAATGGCCGCCATCAAATTAGGCTTAGCGGCACTTAAACAATTTTAAAATTATTGATAATTCTAAAAATATCGCATACAGATTTACTAAAGGCATAAAACCCTTAACCGGAAGATAAAAACGACGTAATTCAATCATTTTTTAAGCAAAAAATGTACAATTTACAAACATATAACAGTAAAGAAACTGAGATTACTGAGCCGGGTAACAGAGTGGATATATTTATAAATATATTTATATACGTTTGGCGCGGCCGATTGCAACCAAAAATACGTAGTGCACATCTACATGTTATAGTAGTCTTA